TTATTTTTTTAAAAAAAAGATTATTTTCCAAATTTGTCCTTGTTTTAACTTAATCCTCTACACTTTTTTTGTAAATGATTAAAATTAATCTTATATACTCCTAACTATATAATCATCCCTATTCCCTACTATCTAATTTACAACCAAATTCTAATGTATTCAGTTTTGTATCCTATTTAATATTGAATACTATACAGATTCAAAGACAATAATAAATGCACTATGGACGATTTTTTGAGGTGTGAAAATTATGTGCCGTAATAGATAAATAATCAAACAAAATAAAATTTCCATCTTGTACGGGTAAGATTTTCGAAGGTCTCCAACACCCCTGTGTACGATTTCCGGGGGTCTTTAGTACCCCCCGGCTAAGATTTTGGGGGTCTCCATCACCCCCCGTCTATGATTTCCGCAGGTCTCCAATACCCCCGGATAAGATTTCTGGGGGGTCTTTAGTACCCATTGGATAAGATTTCCGGGGGTAAACAGTACCCCCGAAAAAATAGACGGAGGTACTAATAATGAAAAATTACAACAATTCAACAAAAAAATTAAAAAAAAAATTAGAATGGATGGTTTATGAGCGGTGAACGACTTCTTTGTCTCTAAAGCTCAAGTTGAAGAATTTTGAGGGAAATGGAGAAATGAAATGAAAAAAATAAATAAAAATACATAATAAAAATTGGTGAATGAAATGGAAAAAATTGGCGAGTGAAATGAATTGCACAATAAAAAATGTAAAAACTGAAAGTCGGGTGAAATGACGAATACGTTTTTTTATTTTGGAAAAGGTTATTTCAGTCTTTTGATTATGTTTGTATCATTAATTAATTTCTACATTTAGGTTATTTTGTACTGCATTTAGTACTTGCGTTTTTTTTGTTTGGGTTTTTCTATACAATGCCCCTGAGGTATTGACTTTTCTAAGTTGTGCCACCCATTTTCAAAATTCTACACTGTACCCCCAAGCTACCTTAAGTGTCTACGATGTAACCCTACCCTAATCCCTCCGTTTAATTAAGTTAAATTTCCGTTAACTTAAAAATAAATAACTACCAGCCACCACTACACCTCCCTCACAATTACCCACCAACCACCACTACACCTCCTGCCGCACCATCCTTGCACCCCAAAAGCGTCGATATATAATCTTGCATTAAGACTTAGAGCTGATCCTGTTTTTTTAACTATTTACACAAGCTTGAAATAGAGTGAAGGAGGAAGAGAGGGGTCTTAAAGGTACCCCAATTCCTTATTGCTCCGACGCATCAAATTGAAGGAATTTGAGGGGTCTTAGCGGGGTAGTACACTAGCATAGAGGTGTTGAGAAAGGAGAGCAAAGAAGACAATTTTGTGCTCAAACCCCCATTTATATATATATATATATGTTTCAATTGGTCGAATCTGGGGATGAAGAACGATTGGTGGTGCGGTTGTGGCTCAATTGAGAGAGAAGGAAAGAGGAGGGTGACGCGTGCGGTGGTGGGTCGAGGAGAGAGGAGCGCGACTCGGTGGTGCGGCTGGAGGTGCGGCGGTGGCGCGGTTGGAGGTGCAGTGGTGGCTGGTGGGAAGTTGTGAGGGAGGAGAGAGAGGTGTTTAGGGTTTTTTTGTTTTTTTTTAATTAATTTATTTTGAAGTTAACGGAAAGTTAACTTAAATTAACGGAGAGATTAGGGTAGGTTACATTGTAGATATTAAAGGTAACTTGGGGGTGCAACGTGGATTTTTGAAAATGGGTGGACACAACTTGGAAAAGTCAATACCTCATAACGAGGGAGCCCTAGTCGATCAGCCTGATTGATCAAAGGATGTAAATCAAGCCTTTTTGTGGGCCCCACTTTGTCATAAATATTAATATAATAAAGCTTTGTACGGTATTTTAAAGTAAGAATGTAACGAAAATGATTTCGAAGTTAGGAACGGAGTCAATAAATCATTTCCCAAAATTTAATCCAAGTAAAATAGAAAAAATATCTAACAGAATTCCAGATCTTCATCGCACTAGTTTACTCCTTCCCAGTTCGACAGATGACAGAGTAGCCGTATGCCTGTTACATTTTCTTGGCTATTTGGTGGATCTGTTAATGTTTGTTTGGCTATTTGGTAGATATTAATGTTTGTAGTGAAATTGGTAATTTTTATTTACAGGAAAAAGGAATTACGGATAGGGGTGGCAACGACTCGGATCTGGACAGGATCCAAATCCAGATCCATTTTTCTACCCAATATCCAGATCCAATCTGGATCCGTCGGGTATGAAAAAGTGGGATCCATATCCATATTCGTTGGATCCTACGAATCTGGGTCTAAAACGGATCCAAAAAGGATCTTGTACATTTCACTTATTTTAAATAACAAATTAAGTGTTTTTGTATAAAATATATAACTAAGTTAGTTAAAGTACTAACTAACTGCAAGTTATAGGAACAATTATACTGATAAGATAAAAAAAAAAAATCAACATGAGAAGAACAGTGAGCAGTAAAGGAGCTCCAGACTTTCTTGAAATTAGTATGAACAATAATGAAACAAAAATTCTCATTATAACATGTTGTGGATTGTGCCTACAGTTTTAAAATAAAAATTTATTTAAAACGGGTAAACGGATCTGGATACGTGTATTTTGGTTAGACCCGTATCCAGATCCGTTTTTAGCACAGGATCCGGATCCGACCCGGATCCGTCGGATCTAAATTTTAAAGATCCATATCCGTTTTTCCACATATCTGGATCCATTGTCATCCCTAATTACGGATTACATTTAATAGTAGAAATTGATGTTGTATTATCAATTTTCTTTGGATTCAGTAGCCATTGATGAAGCTGGTCTTTTAGGGATTTTTCGTTTCGATTGATGAGATGCAGGGATCTTGCGTGTGAATTAATTGACTGACTAAAAATTTTGTTCGTCGGATTTATCGTTTTAAACTTGTTTTTTGCAGTAATTGTTTTTGTAAATCTGCTCGAATCATGGCAAATGTAAATGGGTTTATGTTAATTATCCAGATGCAGTAACATGCATCAATTACAAAGAATTACAAATTTACAACTCCGCCGTATCACGAATTTGACAACAATTGATCGGAATCGGAGTATCCTCGAATCTCTTTGCTAACAAATATCGTGTTATCAGTCGAAAATGCTGCAGAATTAATGGTTCCCGAATTGCTCGGAGAAGATGAAGTTCGAACTTGGTTTTACCAAGAAAAAGGGAAAGTGAAGGAAAAGGAATCTTTGTGTTCTGTTAACGAAGTTCCAACGGAAGGGTAACGACATTATTTGGCATGTTATTTTGTTGTATAACGAAGATCTAGGTAAAATTACATATTTACCCTTCAAAAGACGAATGTACCCTAGATTTGCTTCCCATGTCAATCTAGCTGATCAACATGTATTTCCCCACCTCATAACTAGAGGTGTCAAAATCGAACCGACCCGAAAAAAATTATCCGTTTCGAACTGTAACCGATCTGATTTGATCCGAGAAATTTAAGACCCAAACCCGATCTGTAACCGAACTGAACTCAACCCGAATCCGAACTTAACCCGGCACCGATTTGTTCCGACCTGAACTCAACCCGAATCCGATTTGACCTGAGCTGAACTCAAACCGAACCGATTTGACCTGACCCGAGCTCAACCCGATCCGAAATTGACCCGAAAAATAATCGATCTAATTCGATCTGTTTTGATCCGAACTGATATTAACCCGATCTGATTTTAACCCGATTTGATTTTTACCCGATCCGAATTTAACCCGATTATAATTAATTATTTACTTTTTTATTCAAGTTCTTATACTATATATTTACTAATTATTAATAAGTTAACTTTTTGACTACAAAGAAATAATCCGGAGTCTTAAGTTTACTTCATGTACATATCAATTACATTAACGGAAATTCTCATTGGTAGCCATCAACTTTTGTTTATTTTCATTGGTAGCCACTTTGTATATAAATTATCTTTGGTAGCCTTAAGGAGGCTTAGATCGTTTCGATGGAGAACTCAGAGAGTCAAAGTAAGCTATAAGGAGGCTTAGATCTACCTTTCATCAAACAATTTGGGTGAGAATTCTAAGAGATATAAATAATTAATTAGCAGAGGGAGGAGAGAAAGAGGAACAGTACGGAGGTGGAGGAGGAGGAAAGATGAAAACATTTTTTTAACATTTTTATTTTAACAATTTTAAAGATAATTTTAAAGATTAATTAACAGTTAAAATGACTCTAAATCAAAGTTAACTTTTATTTTAGCGTTTTTATCCATATAAGGTTACAGAAGTAACATTTTAAAAGTTAAAGGCTACCAAAGATAATTCATATACAAAGTGGTTGCCAGTGGAAATAAGCAAAAGTTGATGGATACCAATGAGAATTTCCCTTACATTAATGTACTCTCTAAGCTTTAATAAATGCCACAAGATCTAATAAACCTAAACATTAAGCGGGAGTTAATTGATTTGCTTGTAAAACTCTAGTTAAATGCTGTCTAAAGCCTATTGTCATTTTTAATGAATTTCCTCCCATTCTGTTATATTTTATTGACTCAATAATAATGTAAAGCCTAAACAATATCTCTAGCTTAAAAATAACCTTATTTGGATATGAATTTGGTCAACTCGACCAAAATCCAGCCAAACACAAAAAGGAATTGAACCGAAATTGACCGGACCAAACTTGACCGAATCGAAATCAACCTGACCCAAATTCATCCGACCCGAAGTTACCCGACTAAACCCGTTTTAAACCCGATCCAAATATATCCGAACCGAAAGTGAATCGATTTGAAGTTGACCCGACCCGTATCCGATCCGGACTCAATAGACCATCACCCGAATTTGACCCGATCCAAGTTAAAAGGATAATTTTGATCCGAACATATCCGACCCGAATATACCCGACCCAAATAGACCCAACCCATACTCCATCCGCTTATCCAAATTGACACCTCTACTCATAACATTGTATAGAAAAAACTTTTTTTTTTTAAAACCATTTTATTTGAGAGCTTGACTTGACCTCACTGTAGTGGGGAAATGCACCTCCCATAATCCCACTCCTAAATTCCCATGGCTGTACCTCCAATTCTCAGAGGCTTGTCTCTCCTCCGTCTTCACCTCCGCCACAGACTCGCCGCCAGGATACCAACTCCTCTTCGTCGTCCGTTCTTCTCAACAACCTTTTCTGGTTCAACACCGTCCCCGTTAGACACATCGTCGTCGACTAGTGAACTATCAAAAGTACAAAACCCTCCTAATTCCTCTAACAGGATCAATAACCCTAGTAATGTTGAATGGCAAGATATGGAGAAAGAGATTCTAAGGGATATTGAACCTGTTGTTCTTCTCCTCAAAGATATTCTCCATTCTGATAGGTATCTCTCTCGATCTATTTACTGTTTTTTTTTTCTTTTTATTTCAGGCTTTTCTTTCCAATTTACAGTAATTGAATTCCTTGTCGTTTGGATTTCTGTATCGATTATTATATACTTCGTGGTTCATATGTATATAAATGTGATTTTTTCACTATATAATCCTAATTAAACACCCCATTTTGTAATTTATGTTTAAGATAATTAGCAAATCATAAGTACTAAATGCAGTACAAAATTTCCTAAATGCAGAAAAGATTAATAATATGTAAATTAAAAAGAAGACAAAAATAACAGTGGATTCTTCACTCCTTCCCCCCTTCTCTTAATGTCTAGTTGTCTACTGTAATCTTCTCTAAGCCAATTCTACATTAACTTCATCTCTTAAACATTTTTTTTGGTTGCTTATTTGTCGGTTGACTTCACAAATTGTTGTTATTTTTCATAATTAGGTAGTTTACCTTCCATATATATGTCTAGTTTGTGAAAAAAAGTGCCTTTATAATTCACTGTATTTTGATAAGGGTATTTGTCTTGAAGTCCGGAAACATCATCCGGTAGGTAGTTTAGAGCCCTGGAAACATTGTCCGGTACATAGCTGTCAGCGTCAGAAAAATTATCCGGTAGTTGGCTTTAAAGCCGAACATTACAACCAATTGCTAAATGTTGGTCTTGGAAATTTTTTAGAGAAACTTTTCCATCAATCTTACAAATATTATGTACTTCGTATGATGAACGTGACTGGAAAAAAAAATCAAAAGGTTAAAAAGTTGGAATTTGCGTACAAGTGGTAAAAGGGATGATTATATACTACATATATAAAATTTCTGGGCTGGAACTCTTGGACTTTAGAGTCTTAAAAGAGGTTATTTTTAACAAAGGGTAAGATTGGAAATCTAATTTTCATAAAAATTAATTTATCCTGCATTTAGTATTTAGGCGCGGCAGGGCTGGGGTGGGGATTCATAGTATTGAGGCTGGATGCCTCTGAATTGGAAGATTGGGAATGAGGGAATTGATTAAATAGTTAATTAATTATTAACTAAGGGAATCAAGGTTTTTAGGGCTTAGACTGAAATATCATTAGAAGCAAAATCAGAGATATGGGGTGGAACTACACTTCTCCACATTCGTTTGCCAACATCTCAAGGTTGGAAATGGGCTACTTTATTCCCAACACGCTTTACATATGACCGGGACACACTAGCAACACAATCACTCTCAACAATTTAATTGGTCCTACCTTTTTCTTGTGCCACATTCAAAGTTCAAACCAAAACACTACATTTGCCACCACCACGTTGGTCTCCCACACCTCTGAAAATTGAATGGCAGCACAGCAGGACACTTTCCCCCACTCGTCACTACACACCTCACCATATGGTTCAAGGGTGTTATTTAAATCTCTTTCCCTTCTATGGTTCATGTGAACCTGAAATGACCTAGGAAATGATCTATGACTTATGGCTTTTGCTATAAATATGATCTCAGTTGTTATGTTTTATTATAGTGATGCACATGTGAGTTGAACTAATTTTCTTTACATAAATGAGTTATGGGTACGAAAGTTTCAAAGCTGAATACATGGACCACAAATCTTTTTGCAAGAAGATTGATTTTTCTATCCTTATTGTTCAAGCTTGTGGAGATCCAAAGTGTTTTTGGTTTAAAGCCTTGTTTTTTTTTTTTCCCAGAATCTTTACGAAATAAGTCATGCCTAGAAGTAACTCTTGATGGTTGGTTTCTTAGTTTCAAAATTTTAATGTAATTTGGTTAACTAGATACTCTACAAAACAGTCATTGTTTCTCTTGGAGATGACCATATGACACTTGTAGTGTACATTGTATACCATGGTTTCTCTTGGAGAGAACCACTTTTTGCACTGTATAACAGAAAGTCTTGGTTGCTTGTAGTTGAAATTATATACATAGTATAAATTTTTTATGTTTGGAATCGCTTTCAAGAATTTTACAAATTAGAATTAGCGGTATATTTAGTGTTCAAAAGGTTAGAAAAAAAGCAGAAGGAAATGATTGGATATCTAAAGTGAAATTGATTTCAATTTTAAGATATGTCGTGTCATAATATCTTTGTCGTGCTAAATGACCTGATGTATTGATTTTAAATCAAGTAAGGTTCTAGTGGAAGTATATGGACAAGAAGACAGGTTGGTAAATGAAGATAATAAAAAAAAATATTGCTAGCATTAGGATCATGAGCTAATTTGTCAAAAAGTCAAAAAGTTGTTACAAATTGGTAGCTAATTGATAATTTATTTTGTTATTAGAAGCTAATATTGATAATAGAGGAAATTCCTCACTATACTACAAATATTTTATATAAGGTTTGATGATCAACCTCTCTAAGAAGTTTTTTGGTTGACATATAATCACATAGTAAAATGAATTTTCTAAAAATTAGAGGCATTTGCAATGGCGGATCGAGGGTTTCCAATGAGGGGTAGCGCATAGTTGTTTTGAGAAAATTTAAAAATGAAATTTTGGACTCTATTTTAGAGAAGCGGGGATCGAACCCTGACGGCCTATACAACCAAAATTTTAGAAAACTCTCCTTTAACCACTGCAACAATAGTTGACATTTATTATAAGTTTGCAATATAAAAATTTTATACCAAATTTCTGGTGCTACCCCTTGTGACAACGTAGATCCGCGAATGGGCATTTGGTTTGGGGGTATTCACTAAAGGGTAAGGGCAAGAGTAGACTTGAATTCCTATGGTGTCGTTTGTTAGCCATGTTAGGTCAAATTTATCATTCTTTTACCATCTATTCTTTTTCACTTCTCCTCAAAGTCCTCTACACCCCTTAGGCATCTCCCATTTCTTTTCCCCACTTCAGATCCCTGTCTTCCTTGAAGTATAGAACTCCTTGAGCCATAGCAGCCATTGGTCCTCACCACCGCTGGCCATCTCTGGTCATTGGAGAGTGTCTCTAACTATCGGCAATTGTCACTGGTGACCATCTTCAAGTGGCGTTTTAATGGCCTTCGTCTTCCTCTATATTTTCTTCTTCTCCCCTGTTTTTTCTAACAGATCTATATCCTCTTCTCATTCTTTATAGTTCACCAGCAACCTTTTCTTATATTTTGTTTGAAAATCAATCTTTTTCCTGTCTTATTCACCCATATCTATTATTCTTTGTTTGTTCGTTTATTTTTTTTCATTCTAGAATTCCATGTGTTCAGCTTATTAAATTTACAGTTCAATTTTATGGCCCTTTATTCCCAGAAAATTTGTGTACTAATTCTTTTTCCGTATTTTTTCCCGACTTTATCAGAAAATGAGTGTTATTTTTTTGTTTTGTTATTCTTGTTAACTATTAGCTTATATATAGTCAAATTAATTTATTAAAGCTTGTATCTATGGACTTAATTTTGTTTTTCGTACCTTCTATAATTCTATATGAATTATCTTGCCATTCTTGCATTTTTGCCCAATAGATCGTTGTAATTTATTGAGAAGGATAACAGTTGGGACTACAAAGTTGTAGTTTGATTCTCTTACTATAACCAAATAGTTACAAAACAAATTTAAAAGGTATTCATTCTGTTTCTAGACGAAAAACAAATGGGTGGGTGATTTGTTGTGATTCCTTTCCTTTCTATTTTGGTTTTGCACTAAAATAGGAAGTTTTACGTCCCACAAATTGGAGGCGGTCTTTTACTCAACATCAACTAGGTAAGGAAAAGTAAACAACTATAGTATGTGTAATTATTATCAATAACTACGCTATTTAATATTTTTTGGTGATTTTTCTGGCCTTAGTTTTAGTGGCCTTAGTTATAAGTTATGTAGATGTGCTATACATGGTACTTGTATGTATTTTGGTATCCTTGTTATGTTTACTATAAATTTATTACATAAAATAATTGCCATTATATTTTTCATTTTTAAAATTCATGTTGATAATAAACAAAAACGAATGAATGATAGACGAACACTAACAAGTTTGTGAGCCAAATTGAGTCAAAACCACGTTCACTTAGAATTTTGTTAAAGCCTGTTTGTTTATCTGCTTATCTAGCAAACAAGGTTTGATTAAGCTGTTAACGAGTGTATTGTCTAATTCAAATCCCTATGATAAGGCATCTGTCCTACCCATCGTCGTGCCTATGAGGCATTTGACATGATGAGGCATACAACTCCTTAATTTTTTTTTTATTTTTTTATTTTATTTTATTTTATTTTTTGGCTTTAATGTGACAACTAATGCTTGTGTAATTGATACATCTATTTTTTTAGTATTTTATTATTTAGTGTTTTTTTTTAATCTTTTATATATTTTCTTAAAAATAATTTTCTTTATTTATTAAATAAAATTTTACGTTACTTATTTTACCTTACCTTATTTCATTAGTCATCTTTTAGAAAATATGGTAACAATAGATGAGGCTTTACTACCCCAAAATCAATTTACCTAAGAATAAAATTACTTAAGCTCTTGAATTGGAAATTATATACCATGTAAAAATAAAAATAAATCAGTACTTTAATATTGCAATAGTTTCAATATTAGGATGTTTTACAAATATTGCAACTTTTTCTATTTTGCACATGGTTTCATTTTATTTCATAAATCAGTACTTTAATATTGCAATAGTTTCAATATTAGGATGTTTTACAAATATTGCAACTTTTTCTATTTTGCACATGGTTTCATTTTATTTCTCTCTTCATTATATGATTCCATGTCTTTATTTTTCTCTATCTCTCTCTTCATCTAAAATCCATGTATGTCTCCCTTATTTCAATCTTAGGGGAATAGAGGAAGTATATTGTTTGTACTTGGGTCATGCATGAGTTATCGATGTTATTTATTAGTTTTTAATGATTTTGTTTTCATTTTCTAATGATTAGTTTGGGCCTGGGCAATATTCCATGTCGTGTGAACAAATGTACAATTGTAAATCAGTCCTTACTCTAATACATGGGCCCACTTAAATCATTTAATTACACTCATATCTCTAGACAATTCTAACTAATTAATTTTAGATATATTGAAATATTGTCCCTTCGTTTCGACCTGAAAGTTCGACTTTCTTACTATAGACTCTTGTTTCTTTGAATATTTGGAAGAGTGGGTGTAAGAAAAAAGTAATTTAAGTAAGAGAGACGAGGTAAATAGGTGGGTGTAAAGAAATGTGGATAAAGTAGAAGAGAGTGAGAAAAGTGTGAACAAAGTGGGATAAGAGGGGTAATCCTGAAAAAAAAGGAGTTTTTCAAATAAGAAATAAATTAGAAATGAGTTAAAATTTTGAGACAACTCAAAGTGAAAAGCAAACTTTCAGGAATGGAGGGGTATTTTTCTCCTTTTTGATGAATTAAGATTGAATTATTTTTAGTAGTTTTATTGATTACAACCAAATTTATGTAGGCTGATGGATGGGGTTTTAGGGGGTGTTTGGTATAAATATTGTAAATGAAATGGAAAGAAATCAAATAAGTAAGGGAAAGAGTAATGATAAACGTTACCTTAACTATATGTTTTGTATCCTAGTGGAATGGAAACAAATTGAGGAGATTATGATTGAGTGAGAAAACATATTTTTCTCCACTACTTTGTCAAGGGTAAAAATCAAGGGATTTTGTTACCCTTCGGAAACGGTATTTGTTATTTTGAATCCGTTCCAAACAAAGAGAAATGGAAACACGTAATTGAATCCGTTTCCTGGATCTAAAATAACTATACCAAATGTCCCCTAGAGTCTTCTTTTATAATTACTATAATATTATCGATAGTTTTGCCTTCTAAAAAAACCTTTTCTCATTTGTTGCCAAATATTACCCTAGTTGATGTTTTGCATTGGCAGGTACATGGATGGGGAACGTCTTACTCCTGATGATGAAAATGTTATTAGAGAGAGGCTGCTTGCCTATCATCCTTCTATTGAAGAAAAAATTGGATGTGGACTTGATTCAATTATGGTTAGACTCAATATCCTAACCATTTTTTTTATAGATATAAATTTCCCGTTTGGTTCCCATAAATATATTTTGACCATAATTTTTTGGTTTTTAGATATGGTATTAAATATTAAGGCCACAACAACAAAATCCAACCACTTTACCCTCGTAAGTAGGATAATTAAGGGTTTGTTGAGTTTGGAGCAAAGCCTTGTAATTGTTCGTTCATAGTTTGAGCAATTATTAGAAACACTAACTATTCTATCATTGTATGTGCTACATTTAATTCATTCCCCCCCCCCCCCCCCGGACTTAATTTCTTCCACATGTAGGTTTGATTCCCACCCCTTCAATCCTTCCATCTCCTTTCTTAACTTTTTGTTTTTCCAATTAAAAAAATACTACTTGCGTTTCATATTATTTGCAACAAAAGAATGTTTTATGCCTCACAAATAATATCCCTTTGATGCAAATAATATGAAATGGCTGTAGTATTATAAAACAAAAACAATTATATTATATACCTATAAACAACCCATACGTTCCAAAATATTTAATAGAACCCTAATTCTCTCTATCTCCTTATTATTCAGTCATCTTCTCTACTTACACACCCTTATTATCTGCCTTAAAAAATAACCCTACCTTTTATAACCAAAGATGGTTAAATTAAGGATGGCTAGTAGAATATCATTGGAACTGTGTTGTTTCTACAGTTTATCACTGTAGGAAGCGCACCTACAATATGGCGACTCCACTATGGAAATGGGCTAAGAATTAGGTTGTTTTGTTAATTTTATTGGATTGAATATGGATTTTAAGCACTCCAAAGATTAAATACTTGACCCCGACCTATAATGGCGGTGAAAGGTTGTTCATAATCGGATTTGGTTTTGGAGAGACATTTTTAGGTGTCTATAAGCACCCACTTAAAAATCTACTTGAATGTGAAGAAATGTTGGGAAGTGTTTCTATGGTTTAAATTAGAGTGATTTTTTTTTTAAATGGTACAATATTAAGAACTATGGACCTTGTGCTTTAGAGGTTTATCAATCGTTTGACAAGTGAGAATGATGATCTTAATCAGAGATATATAACCTAAAACAAGCCCATGGGAGTTTTATGAATGAAAGTTATCACTCTAAGAATTTGGAAGAGGAAGTAAAACCATTGACGCCAAATTAAACCGTCTCCCTTTTAAATTTGCAATAAAATGGCTAATTTACAATTATCAACCATTGGTGCCAAATTTCTAAGTATAGTTCATGATGAAGAAAGGGAAAAGTATGTAGAGAAGAGGGATACAAAAGAAGAAAGAGATGAGAAATACTTAGGAAAGAGGGGAGAGAGAAGGAATTGGGGTTTTTTTTTTTTTTTTTTTACATATTTTACTTTACAATAAATAAATAAATAAATAAATTGATTAATATAAATTACTGATTTGATAATTCATTTGTAAATGCTAAAAATGATTTAAATAAAGTAAAAATTAAGTTTCTGGTATGTGAGCTGTGAGCCCACTCCAATATCATCAATGTTAAATTCATAATTATTTAAACAAGTTGGTGTCAATCGAACGAGTGGTACAAGTTAGTGTCAATAAATGCATAATCACCCTAAGTGGGTGTCAACGAGTATGATTTTGCCTTATTGAAATGAGTAAAAAGGTGAGAAAATGCAATAAAGCCTTGTGATTTACCATAAAAGCCCAAGTGGGTAAGCAACTAAAGAGTTTTCATTAAGGGGTATATTAGGTATTTGCATTGTGAAAAGTGACATCAGGTTTGGAAGGGAATTGTTGCAATATTTGTGTACCTTCCTTGGGCAATAATAAAATAGAGGAAGTATATCAATTTTGTGCAACGATATCATCAAATTGGGCAATAATGTGTAATTTTTAACAGAAACATCTGCACACAAAACAGAAAAGAAAGGGGGAATTAAAAGTGCACATTATAAGTAGCATAAAGAATAAAAAGAAAAGGATCAGGGGTGGGGGTGGGGCTGGGGCTGAGGAAAGAAGGTAGTTGGAGTGTATGGAGAGGAGAGTTATTTTTTATTTATTTATTTTTTTATTACCTTTTTAATATTTATGTGATATCTAAGACTACTTTTGCGACCGCTAGCATTTACTGTTTCATGGAGAGAGAGAGGGGGTTCATTGAATGGAATTAAACACAAAGAGTGTAGATCTTCAAGGAATGGAGGTACTATGTGTTAATGTGTTTGGACGTGCTTGTTTTACATATATTACATTGAATGGATTCAAACACGAAGAGCGTAGATCTTCGTAAAATGGAGGTACTGTGTGTTAATGTGTTTGCTCATGCTTGTTTTAGATATATTCTTGTTTCTTCATTAAGTAGTTGGAGTACACATGGTAGGGGGTGCATGGCAAACAATTACAATTTAAGAAATTTAATGAAATTTTAAATGTAACTGTTTTTTCTTCTTTGTTAATGGTCGTATTAAAACAATTTAAAAAGAGTGTCATACAATTAAGTACAATTTAAGAAGTTTCAATGAAATTTCAAATATAGCTTGGGGTGGATTTTCCATTGTTTTCTTCTATGAGATTGTTAAAAATTAAATGGGTGTCTTTTTTTTTTTTTCTCTTTAAAACCTTTTCTTGCAAGTTGGGGCTTGATGGATTGCTTAAATTTTGATTTTTAGAAAAACTGGAAATGGTAGTAGGTAAACCAAAAGGCATAAATAATAATAATAATAAAAAAAAATAAAATAAAATAAAAAGCGCTTGATGTTAAGGATATTCGTACTAAAGACCTTAGACTCCTTAAGAGAATCACAACTTGAGACAAACCACTTAGGGCATTTTAAGTATTGCACAATGCTTTGGTTTTAAACTTTTTTTTTTTTTTTTGTTTACTGGGTTTTAGGGGGCTGCCCCCCCCTCATTTTGTTGTAAGCTGGCTCCGCCAGTGGTGCATGCTTTGCTCTAGAATATTTACGTTACAGAACATGTGCCTGTAGGAGACTCTTCTGGACCTGCTATTTACTATCTTTATTTATATCTTAATTTAAAAAATACTTGTAAATTGTTATTTTCAATTGGATAAAAAGGCCTAATTGACAATTTAATTTTAGAAAATGTCCTTTAAGTGATAATATTTTCAGTTAAGGTTGAACTGATGATGGTAGTAGTTGACTAATTTTCCTATATAAGGAGTGATGTTAAGTTCAATTTGAAATCATTAGCTGATAATGCTTAGTTTCTTTATCTTGAGTTATTGTTCATTTTTCTTGTGTACAGGTTGATCAGCACCCCCAATTTGAAAGATCAAGGAGTTTATTTGTTGTTAGAACGGATGGTGGATGGATTGACTTCTCTTACCAAAAATGTTTACGGGAGTATGTCCGACAGAAATTCCCCTCTTATTCTGAATATTTTGAACAGCAGAAGTCAGCTGTTATTTATAAGAAACAGCCACGACGACTTCATCTTTGGTCCAGAGGAGGTATCATGTAGAAAAGGTATTTTGTTCGTTTCTGGTATCGGCGTTGGTGTGTTAGGCTTTGATTAGTTTAAGTTCCTTTGGTTGAGATTTGAGGCAGTTATCCTACCAGATTTATCAGACAGAAATCATTCTATGTCAAGAAACTCTGTCTCTAAATTGAATGTGCATTTTATTATCTGAGTTCTTGTGTGCACTTTCCCCTTTTATTTTGATGGACTGCAGTGTGAATATTTTTTTTTGGTGTTTAGAGAGCCACAAGGGTGAGGGTGAGAATCGATCCCAGGACCTCCTAGAGTCGGGAGGGAAGCTCTGACCACTTGAGCTATCCCTCACTCTCATTGCAGTGTGAATATGGCTAACCACTTTATATACATGTTTATTGATAGACAGACAATTCAGTTGTTTTGATATCTCTAATGTGATCCCTGCTCTGTATAGCAAAGGCGAAAGGTTATCTTGGCCTTACATTGTGTTTTGGGTGCAAAGGAAGATTATTTTGCATAAATAACATTTATATTCTTATGTATGGAAGTCTCTATTTTATTTATTTATTTATCTATTACTATTTACTAGATGAAGTCCGTGCGATGCACGGTTTGTTAGTATTTTTTTTTTATAAAAATATTTTTCATATTTATGTGATTAAAATTGTTATTATATTAGTTTTAAAATATTAGATAAAATTCCTAATCTCAAAAGATAATATTTTGTATTTAATTAATTTAAACATTAAAATCTCATTCGTCAATTTTACTTCCGTGGCATTTGAATTATTTAATTGTAAAAGAAATTAAAAATCTCTTATTTAATTGGCTACCACTTAAATTTATAATCCTACATGGTCCATTAAGAAAATTAAATCCTACGTATCTCTCTAAAAAGTCGTGAAAAAACTCCCCTTTAAATATATATACTAGTTAAATTCCCATGCTATGCACGACTTTACTAAATTATCCATACCTTATAAAAATTAGAAGATAACTCTTAGGAATAATGTGCTACCGTAGACACTCATTTGTGTCTCCCCAAAACCAAACCCGGTGATGAGTACCTTTCGCGTCGAATCATAATCGAATGAAGTGAAAGTGTAGAAAGTCTAGTGTTGCGGATAATTTTAATTTCTTTTCTTTTCTCTCAGTTTTTGAAAACCTATTTTAAGAAAACAGTCAATCCAGTTTGGTTTGGTCCATAGCAAGGGTCCAATAATGGTGTAGTTGAATGGAACTTGAAAAGAGCTTTCCAACGATATATTATAAGCTCAATTCCGATGAATAATGAGGAAGTTATGGCCAAATTACCAAACTGGGCCCGATTTGATACTTATATACGACCCAATGATCTAGAGGAGGGCCTAATATGGATTTATCATTTCTAATGCAATTAGAATTGATTTTAATCTTCTAGATTCTTCTAGAAGGTTCCTTTCATTCCTAATTCAATTAGCATTGATAAATTGACTTTGGTTGACTTTTTAGAGTTTTAATCAGAATAAAAGAGTGTTTTTAAGGAAAATAGGATTTTGCCCTTCTGTACGACTAAATTTTATCAGAATTAAGAAAACGCGTGAAAATAATTGTTAGCGCCTGACGACAGGAATTAGCGCCTGACGCTAATGCTTGGCGCCTGGCGCTAATGTTCAGCGTCTGGCGCTAACCTGTTTTATCCTCGTTGAAACTCTGATTTGTTTTTTCTATCCGTTTAGCTGATTTTCTCTATAAATAGCCTCATAAAACCTCCATTTTTCATCATTAATTCTCTCTAATTCTCATCAACAATCATCAAATATCATATTTTCTCTAGTTTTCTTATTCTCTCTAGTTTTTAAGAATTCTTCTCTCTCTAACTTTCTATACAAAATTCCACATTCACAAGATCTAGACACACCTAGCCAAATTCGAAGTTGCCTTCTCCCTAGACGTGAAAGGTTTTAATTTATGAGGGTTTGGTCCCTAATCTCTATTTCAATTATTTAATTTAATTGTTTTGATTATTATTTTCCTTGATGTTACTAATGTGTGTATTTTGTTATTAGAAAGAGATACGAGGCATCCAAGTAAGTGCTTTAATGATTTTATTGATATTATGATATAGAAATCATGTCTAGGTTGTTATTATGATTCCTAGTGTCATGTTAGGGTGTTTTGATCTTCCTATTATCATGTTTAGGGTAACTTTAATATCAAATATGACAATTGTGATGCTTCCTATTTTCTTTCCTAATAGCATGTTAGTATCATGTTAGGGTTAAAACTTTGATCTTTATTGTTAAGTGACATGCTAGGGTTTGTTATTAATCTTGTTAGTATCATGCCTAGGATCTTGCTATTATTATTATTATTATTATTATTATTATTATTATGCTTTAACGTGAACATGTTTATTTCTGTGATAATAATTGTTATTATTATAATTATTATATTTTTGGATTATTATTATGTTGCTTGATATTTATTGTTATTGCTTGATCACACCTTTCATGATGTTAAAAGGGAATTGGTACTTGTAATCATGCTTAATAAGATAATTAATAATCTTGTTTAGGGTTAATTTGATTATAATTCACGTGATCACCAACAATAGTTTTGTTTGTGCATTAATATTCAACCAACATAGATAAACAGGTTTAGGGTTAATTCTATTGATTTCATGTTAATCAGAAAGCGCACATAAATACGATCAGAGTAAAGTAGAGGCCTATTATTAGGGCAGGTTCAATCTCTTTTAGGTTGGATTTGTACCTTCATCTCCGAACTACCAATCATGGTTCCAGACCTATTGGAGTTGACGATCTCCTGGATCGTTAAGGGGTGTAACCTTCACCTTGTGAACGGTTTACAAGTTCCTAAAATTTGTTGGCGACTCTTTTGCTTTATCTTCTTTCCCTTTGGACGCCACCATGCTTAAGTGTATGATCACAGTGGGGTTCAAGTTTGGGGTAATGCTTGAAATATTCCCTATTGTTTTTTGGCGACTCCACTGGGGAGGATTTCTATTTTAATTCCTGAAATTTATTTCGGCAATGATTTAGAATGAGTGGATGAGACTCGAAAAGTTCTAAGTATTTCATATGCGTAATTTTGATTAACTTATTGTCATATGCATAAAAACGATCTCATTGGAAAGACCATCCGTAATGAGTTAAAACATAGGATTTTTACACGTAGTAAATTTGAGGAATATCTTTCACAACTAGAATCGAAATAATGCTACGCGAAACTGGAAAATTTTATCGAGCACAGAAAGCTGCTGAGGCATGTAGGAACTAGCGTCAGGGAACAAAGTCTAGCGCCAATTATTTGACTAGCGCCAGGCGACAGCTTCTGTCGCCAGGCGCTAAAGCCAAATTATGGCGCTGGCCTCTTTTTGCTTAATGATGATAAGAATGCTATTCTATGTTCTGGTCCTCACATGTTCTTTGGTAAGCCAGCCATTGTTAAAGCATGGTCTGACAAATTTGATTTCCATGCTGAAATATTGAGAACTGTCCCTCTATGGATTAAGCTTCCTAATTTTCCACTGAACTGCTGAGGAGCTGAAACCCTAAGCAGAATTGGTAGCCTACTTGGTGTTCCAGTCTGTGCTAATGAGTGTACCTCTAGGTAGCTAAGGGTTTTATTTGCTAGGCTTCTTGTTCAAAATGATGTTACTAAGGCTCTACCTAGCTTTGTGTGGGTTGAGAGTCCTGCTGGTGAATTGATTGAGAACACAGTGCATTATGAGTGGACCCCTCCTTTTTGTAAGAAATGTGATAAGGTTGGGCATGACTGTTCCAAGCCTCAACCTATTAAAAAGAAGCAAACAGGTGATCCAAAGACCACTCAAACTCAGGCTAAGAAAGTCTGGGTTCCTAAGAAGATTACAAAGGTGACTGCTGAGGTAACTAAGGTTCCTACTCCTGTTAAGGAAGTTACACCACCCCCTCAGACTCAGAACAATGATGATTGGCAAATTCCTGGCAAGAAATCCAAGAAAAAAGCCAACAGACAGATCAATTTTCATGTCTCTAGTTCTAATGTTTATCAACCTTTGACTTTGGATACTGATGGTGTTGAAATTGCAGATAATGCTAATGAACCTAACGGGGGTGTTGGGAATCCCCCTCTAGGGTCATGATAGTTCTCTCATGGAATATCAGGGGTCTTAATGACCCTGGGAAGGTGGCTGCTGTTAGAAAGCTACTTTCTGATCAGAAGTGTGATGTTCTTTGCCTTGTTGAAACTAAAGTAAAACAACATCATTTTGTCAAGATTCAGAGGAAATTTGGGGTTGCTTGGACTTGGTTTGTTAACTATGCTAATTCTCCAAGGGGTAGGATTTGGATAGGTTGGAAAGCTGATCTTTTCAATCTAACTGTTCTTTCTTCTCAAGAGCAGTTAGTTCATTGTTTGATCACCACAAAAGATCTGCAAACTCAGATTTTCATTACTATTGTGTATGGGTTACAACTGTTCAGGATAGGCTTCCTCTGTGGGCTGGTCTTAGGCAGTTGGCTGGTATCTCTGGAGCCTGGTTATGTGCTGGTGATTTTAACTCTATTCTATCTTGTGTTGATAGAATTAATGGGGCTCTGGTTACTGATTATGAAACCAGGGATTTTCAGAGCTTTGTTGACGATTTGGCTTTGACTGAAATTAAGAGTAAGGGTTCCTTCTTCTCTTGGTGTAACAAAGCTCATAATGGTCCTAGGACTTATTCCAAAATTGATAGAGGTATTGTTAACCAAGATTGGATGGATATTTATGGGCATGTTAAAGGTATTTACTTACCCCTCTCTCTTTCTGATCACAATCCTATTATCTTTGATATCTTTCATTCTCAGCCTGGCAAAGGGAGACCTTTTAGGTTCCTTAATTGTCTTGCTGATCATGAAAGTTTTCTAGATATTGTGGATTCTGCTTGGCAATGTTCTGTTCCTGGTAATGCAATGCATAAGGTTTGGTCTAAACTTAAGCAAGTTAAGACTGCTCTTAAGTCTATGAACATTGAGAAATTTGGTAATGTTTCTGAGAAGGTTGAAGCTGCTCAAAATGCTCTAACTGATATTCAGCAGCAGATTTTAAATGATGTTAACAATGTTGATTTGCACTTCAAGGAGTTAGAAGCTATTCAAACTATTAAATACTGGATTAATGTTCAGGAAAGTATTTACAGGTAGAAATCTAGAGTGGATTGGCTTCAGCTTGGTGATAGTAACAACAAATATTTTTTTTGCTGTTATGAAACAAAGACAAGGCAGGAATATTGATACTCTTTTTACTAGTGATGGCACTTTACTGAAAACCCCTACTGCTATTGAAGAAGAAATCACAGGTTTTTATAAAGCTCTTCTTGGCTCCAATGTTGATTCCCTTCACGGGGTTGATCTTAGCACTATGAGAAGAGGTGCTCAGCTTTCTAGAGATTCTCAGCAGTCTCTTATTGCTCCTATTTACATTGAGGAAATTGACTTAGCCTTGAAAGATATTGATAGCTCCAAAGCTCCTGGAATTGATAGGTTTAACTCTCACTTCTTCAAGAAAACTTTGGGATGTTGTGAAAAATGATGTTTATGCTGGTGTTATGGAGTTTTTCAATACTGGTGTTATGTTGAGACAATGGAACTGCACAACTATAACCTTAGTTCCTAAGGTTCAGAATCCTTCCCTTGTTAAAGATTTTAGGCCAATTGCTTGCTGTTCTGTTCTTTATAAGCTTATTTCTAAAATCATTACTTCAAGGCTTGCAAATGTGATTTCTGTGGTGATTGATGGCTCTCAAGCTGGGTTTATCCTAGGGAAGCATATTGGTGACAATATCTTATTAGCCACTGAGCTTATTAAAGGATATGGGCATAAGTTCCTTTCTCCCAGGTGCATGTTGAAGATTGATCTGAAAAAATCTTATGACTCTGTTGAATGGGGCTTTCTGAAGACTGTTATGTCTGAGATTGGTTTTCCTAACCAATTTATTGCCTGGATTATGGCTTGTTTGTCTTTTGTCTCCTTCTCTATTTTGATCAATGGTGTCCCTTCCAATTCATTCCCTGCAAAGAAGGGTCTTAGCCAAGGTGATCCCATGTCTCCCTTTCTCTTTGCCATTGGAATGGAGTATCTCTCCAGATGTCTTTCTGAGCTTCAGCTGAATCCTGATTTTAACTATCACCCTAGGTGTGAGAAGATAGGGTTGACCCATCTTATGTTTGCTGATGATTTGTTGCTTTTCTCTAGAGCAGATGCTCAGTCTGTTTCTTTTCTTTTTCAGGCTTTCTCTAAGTTTTCCGAAGCTTCTGGTTTATCAGCTAACTTAGATAAAAGTGAGGTGTATAATGGTGGGCTTCTTGATTTTGAGCAGGATGAGCTGAGAGATTTGATTGGGGTTGCTCCTAGTACTATCCCATTTAAGTACTTAGGGGTTCCTCTTTCTTCTAAAAAGTTGACCATTGCTCAATGCAAGCCCCTTGTTGATAAAGTGACTGTTATAATTAATGGTTGGTCTGCTAGGCACCTCTCCTATGTTGGTAGGCTCCAATTAGTCAAGAGTGTTCTGTTTGGCATACAAACTTATTGAGCTCAAATCTTCATTCTCCCTAAAAAGATCCTAAGAGAAATTAAAGCTAGATTTAGAGCTTTCATTTGGACTGGGAAAGCTAATCCCTCAAAGAAATCCCTTGTCTCTTGGTCTCAAGTTTGTCTCCTAAAAGTTAGTGGTGGCTGGAACCTTCTTTCTCTTCCTGAGTGGAATGTTGCTGCTATCTCCAGTCTTCTCTGGGATCTTGCTCATAAAGCTGATAACTTATGGGTGAAATGGGTTCATACTTACTATTTCAAAGATAAACCTTGGTGGAATAAACCTGCTCCCAGGAGATGTTCTTGGGTGCTTAGTAGAATTTTGAATGTAGAACTGTTATTGATAATATTGGTGGTTGGGATGCTGTTAAACAAGGTGGTAAAATCAAGATTAAGAAGATCTATTTGAAGGTTATGACTCAAGCTCCCAAAGTCCCATGGAGAAGACTCTTTTGCAATAATTCTGCCACCCCTAAGAGCTTATTCATTCTCTGGCTTGTTGTTAGGAACATATTACTCACAAAAGATAGATTGAGTTCATGGAATATGCAATGTGATCCTATTTGTTTCCTGTGTAATTTGAATCCCGAGTCAATTGAGCATCTATTCTTTGAATGCAGTTTTACTAAGGTCATTTGGGAAAGAATTTTGGCCATTTGTAGGTGCAACAGGTCTATTTTAAGCTTTGATACTGAAGTTATGTGGGTTTCTAAACTCTACAGGAAGGATAGAGCTGAAAACAGACTGTTGGGAATGTGTTTTGCTGAATATGTGTATCATATTTGGTTACAAGGAAACTCCTTGATTTTCACAGGAAATTGCAAATCTGGTGAAGCTGTGATCAGAGATATATTATTTGCTGTTGCCTGTAGATGCTCTGGTTCTGACAGGAATTTGTTGATCCTGTAATTCTGTTTCTTGGGCAGTTTTGTTTTTTCTGGTGCTTAGCTTGGTGTTTCCAATCTTGAGTCCAGTTTGCTGTTATGGTTTGTATTCTCTGAGTTGCTGTATTACCTCTTTTTGTCTAGTCCTGTTGCTTTTTGCAGCTGAGTCTAGGTGGGGGTTTTTATCTATTATACAGTTTGCAGGGTTGGTGTGTTTTGTTTGCAGGTTTGTCGTGCTCTGTGTTTGTTTTTGTGTTCCTGGGCCTGGTTTCCAGAACCCTTCCTAGAAGGTGGCTGGAAGCTTGAGCTCAGGTTGTTCTTGTCTCTTTCTCTTGAACCCTTACTAGAAGGTGGCAGGAGATTGAGCTTGAACTGTTTGGTGGTTGGTTGGCCTGTTTTTCAGGTCTTGTGGGGTTTGGTGCTTGTTATAACTTAGCTCTTGTAAGTTGTAACTTTTCCTTTTGGTAAAAAAAAAAAGTGAAGTCCTTGCTATGAATAATCAAGGACAAAAGAAACCATTTAGGAGGAACTTTACTCCTATAGGTATGAGTTATGACACCGCATTTGACCGATTAAATGGAAAAGGTCTTATAACTCCTATTGGACCATTTGGGGACCCACTGGTCGAGAAGAGGACAGCTAATTGGAACCCCAATGCACATTGCAAATATCACCAAGGTAGGGGCCATCTTACCGAAAATTGTTGGAAGCTTAAGGAAGCTATCCAAGATTTAATCGATGACAACAAACTTCCATTGCCTCCTGCAAGTAAGAAGCCGAGCATTGACAATGCACCTCTCGCTCACTCCTTGGCCATCTCTGATGAAGAAAACGAGGTTGATCCCTCATCTCTCATCAGGCCTATCGAAGAAGAGGAGGAGATCTTTTTCGATGCCATGGATGAATTTTCAAAACTAGCAAGTAAAGAAGATGTATGGTTGATTACATTGTCCATGTTAGAGGGATCAAACTTGCTACGTGAAGCTCTTGAAGTTGCGAAGAAACAATTAGAGGAGCTTCAGAAAAAGTGTGACAAGGTTCCACCCACGAAGAAGAAACCCTTCTCTCTACAAGTAATTGACAGACCTAAGAAGAGTAATAAAGTCTATACTCCAATTGGGACTTCATACGATAAAATGTTCAAAATGCTCCCCGAGAGTGGCAAGGTCAAACCTCTCGAACCGAGACCATTTGAATCACTAAAAAGGACAGATAGATTCTACTGCAAATACCATCAATCAGGGGGTCACACTATTGAACACTGTTTTAAATTTAAAGATTTAATTCTGAAAATGATTGATGAAAAAAAGTTAGTCCAAATTCAACAAGAGGAAGACATAAGCATTAATGGAGTTTGGGACAGTGATGAAGAAGACGTCTACTTAAAAGACATGGAAGGACCTCCACCTTCAGTGTCATATGCCATGGATGACTTCTGGGTTGAAGAAGATTCATCTATAGACGTCCTCACAAGATCTGGGAGAATGCAACCTCCTATTTCGACACAACCTATACCGACTACGCAAAAAGTTCCCATACCTATCATAGAACACAATGATATTGTCAAACAGTTCAAGAAAACCAAGGTTGAAATGAATGTATGGAAGCTTCTAGCAACATCTCGAGAGCATAGGTTGGCAGTGATGAATGCTTTGGATAAAATAGGGATAGATTTTGACACCACTCTTGAGGGGTTGGCTAACTTCCTTACGAGTGATCTCCCTAGTCCTATCAACTTGATCACCTTTTCCGACAAGGATTTACCTCCAGAAGGTGACAAGCATTATAAGGCACTAAACCTCACAGTAGTTTGCAAGAAAATGAACGTCCCTATGACTCTTGTAGACAATGGATCGGTCATTAATGTTTGTTCACTCAGAATTGCGAGGATGATAGGCATAAGGGATGAAGACTTAACCCCGTCAACACAAGGAATAAGAGCTTATGAAAACACTCATCGTTAAGCTCTTGGCAAGACTACTATGAATATAACGACGGGAGCGATAGAACATGCTACTACATTTCAAGTAGTAGATATTAAGGCTTCATTCAATTTATTTTTGGGACGCCCTTGGGTTCATGACCTAAAGGCCGTCCCTTCATCTCTCCACCAACAGGTAAAAGGCCATAGTTGGAGGAATTCCCATCACGATCGATGCTTCACCCATGAGGATTAAAGCTATAGAAAATCCCATCATTAACGTGGAGCACAATGAAGACGATGAAGATTTGTGGGGCTTTAATGAAGAGGTTTCCTTAATCGAGGAGGATGAAAGGACCCCTCTCTGCCATGACCCCCACTCAAATATGATAGTGAACTCTATTATGAAGAAACAAGGACATTTTCTCGGGATGACTCTAGGAAAGAAGAAAGGAATAGCAAAATCGCCGGAATCACCTAGCCTCCCTAAATTAGACACTTTCGAACTTGGTTTCGAACCGACTTGGGAAGATCTAAAGCGATCCCAGGAAAAGTCAAAGGCGCGTAGGAATGCTCGCATAGAAAAGGAAGCAATCCCAATGGATCAGTATCCTCTTACTCTCAATGGACAATTCATAAAAGAAGGAGAGGACTATCCATGCTACGAATTTCCCGAACCTTTTGTCGTAAATGGAATAAGGCAACCGGGATTCGAAATTTTCCTAGATTGCTATTTTCTAGATGAAATCCCAACTCCTATCAAGGAGAAAGCACCCCCATGATTTGACTTTAATGTCATGGGATTACTATTTGGGCGAGAAAAAGATGAGACGACGTACATAGAGGATAACTCCTCGCTCATCCAAACGGTCCTACAAAGCGAAATCTTTGATCCCTCAAGGCTCATCACTCCAGCTGAAGGATCACTACAAGGGTGGCGCAAGACAGTCAAGGTGACTACTCCAAGCGGAAGGAGAATCTCCATTACGACGGGGCAAGGACCGATGTTCGAAGAGTCGTTTGAGTCAGAGTCAGAGTCGGAGTCAGAGTCTTTTCCTGTAGAGTCATCTAAGTCCTTAGTTGTAGCACCCCCTTCTTATATCTCTTCTACTAGTATAGTTAGCAATCAAGTCCCTGAGGACATATCTCTTTTCGATGTAATGATTTCTGAGTTTAATAATATGTCTTCTTCCCCTTACTCCTCGTGCTTTTCTTTAACCCAAGATGACGAGCATTACTTAACTAACAATAAAAATGACAAAGAACTTATTAAAGCCATGGAAATACTTGAAAAGAAAACACCAATAATGGAGGAAACTGAGACGGTTGATATCTCAAATGATTCAACCAATAAAAGAGAAGTTAAAATCGGATTAACACTTAATGAACAAGAAAGAACCGATTTAATCAATCTACTTAAGGAATTCATCGATGTATTTGCTTGGTCATATGAAGATAAGCCAGGCAGTAATAGAGAAATAGCTCAACACACCATACCACTAATTCCAAGAATGAAACCTGTAAAACAAAAGTTGCGTCGAATGAAACCCGACGTAGCTCTTAAAGTAAAAGAAGAATTTCAAAAACAAATAACTGCAGGTTTTATCAAGGTATCCAAATACCTTGAATGGGTCGCTAACGTCGTCCCAGTTCCGAAAAAGGATGGAAGGGTAAGAATGTGTGTCGGCTATCGAGATCTAAATAAGGCAAGTCCAAAGGACGACTTCCCTTTACCACACATCGATATTCTGGTAGATAATACAACGAATCATGCACTTCTCTCGTTCATGGATGGATACGCGGGGTACAATCAAATTCTCATGGCAGAAGAAGACACGGAGAAAACAACCTTCATAACACCATGGGGTACTTACTGCTACACGGTAATGCCATTCGGGTTGAAAAACGAGGGTGCTACTTACCAACGAACATCGACTGCCTTGCTCCATGACATGATGCACAAAGAAGTTGAAGTATATGTGGACGATATGATTGTGAAGTCAAAAGATCGCCCAGGCCATCAAATAGCCTTGAGAAAATTCTTCGAAAGACTAAGAAAATACAACATGAGGTTGAATCCATCCAAGTGTGCTTTTGGAGTCATCTCATGCAAGCTTTTGGGTTATGTCATAAGCTCTAGAGGAATAGAGATAGACCTAACCAAGATCAAGGCAATCATGTCAATGCCACCGCCCAAAATCGAGAAACAAATTCGAGGATTTATTGGCCGGTTGCAATACATAAGCATGTTCATATCAAAATTGACAACAATATGTGAACTAATATTCAAAAAGCTTAAAAAGAATGTACCAGTAATATGGGATGACGGGTGTCAAAAATCCTTTGAAAAGATCAAAGCCTATCTCGCAAATCCTCCCGTATTGGCACCAGCACTTCAAAGAATACCTCTTAGGTTGTACCTAACAGTCACCAAAGAAAAAATGGGGGCCATGCTCGCACAACAAGTAGAAGGCAAAGAAAATGCAATCTACTATCTTTGTAAAAAGATGCTTGAGTATGAGGTACGCTATACACCACTTGAGAAATTGTGCCTCGCATTGGTGTGGGCTACATCCAAGTTAAGACATTACATGCTCGTGCATACAGTCTTTGTAGTTTCCCGATTGGATCCACTCAAATATTTATTCGAGAAGTCTACACTCAATGGGTGCATATCAAGATGGATAGTCAACTTAGCCCAGTTTGATGTAAGATTCATGCCTCAAAAAGCTATCAAAGGATCTGTGGTTTCAGATTTTCTAGCGGACTTTCCAATAAAAGATTCAACGCCAATACACGACAATGAATTTCCAGACGAAGACTTGATGGTCACGGAAGATGATACTTGGACCTTATACATTGATGGAGCCTCAAACCAAAAAGGATTTGGCGTTGGAGTACTACTAGTATCACCTAAAAAAGAGCATGTTCCAATCTCCATAAAGCTAGATTTCGACGTTACCAACAACGCTGCTGAATACGAAGCATGCGTGGTAGGCCTTGAAACAACTTTGGCATTGGGAGTGAAGAAATTACGAATATTCGGGGACTCTTCATTGATCATCAATTAGATCTCTAAGAGATGGAAAGTAAGGAGCGAAAGTCTAGCCCCTTACCAAACTTATCTGGAAACTCTCACTAATCAGTTAGAGAAGGTGGAATACACGTATCTACCTAGAGAAGAATATCAATTTGCTGATGCCTTAGCAAGACTAGCCTCAATGGTTAGGATTCCAATGGAAATCGAGCAAATGCCTCTAACTATAGAAAAAAAGGCATAAACCAGCTTATATTCAAGCTAAAGAAGATGATGAAGTGATCCAAGATGAAGAAGAAGAAGAAGAGTCGTGGTATACGGGTATACTTAACTATGTCACCAAAGGAGAATACCCTTCCCATGCTGACAAAAGAGAAAAATGAGCATTAAGACTCTTGGCTTCCCAATACGTGCTCATAGACAACGAGTTACACAAAAGGGTACC